GGTGCACCGCGCCGGCCGCGTGGGCTGGGTGGCCGGCCGAGTGTCCTACGGTCCCGCAGTGGAAAGCCGAGTGGTGGCCGCCGTAGATTTCGCCGACTAACCTCTTCATCTCCTCCAGGGAGCTGGTGAGCATGAGGATGTAGTTTCTGGCCAGCAGGAGAGTGGCGATCTTGGAGAGCTTGCGCACCGAGGGCCCGTGCGCGTACGGCATGACCTCGCGCAGCCCGTCCATGGCGAGGTTCAGGTCGTGCATCCGCTTGCGCTCGCGTCCGTTGATCTTCAGCCGCAGCTGCTGTAGGTCCTGCTCCGACAGCTGCTTCTTGATTTTGTACTTGCTGCTCTCTCCCGCGGCCTTGGCGCCGGTCCTCGAGAGGCTTTCCCCGGGCATCTTCTGCACCATGTCGCCCTGAGTGGACGACACCGAGTTGAGGCGGCTCTCTTGGTGGTGGTGGTGGCGGTGGTGGTGGTCCCTCAGGTACATCTCATCCATGTCCGGAGATGAGGCTCTGCTGGAGACAGAGCTCGAATCAGAATTCATTTTATTACAGGGGATGCGGCCCTACTGTGGGGGAGGCTTTAGGCCGGAAATTAAAGAGAATCTTGAGTTTAAAAAAAATCCGCTCTGCCCGGCACCCCACTTCTCCACTGCGAGACGTGAGGAGAAAAACCCAGGGCGGCACGACCCTGCCCCGCCTCTCCCTCCCTCTCTGAGTCTCTCTGGTGAGGCTGCTTCCTGGACAGCTAGTTGGTGTGTGCTTGAACTAACCTCACGCTGAAAAAGAGGGGCTTTTATAGAGCTGCGGCGGAGAAAAGAGACAAAAGGAGCCCTCCTATCTATCCTGGGCTGCTTAGGATGACGTGCCATCATTCAGGGTGGGGCGCTCTGCTGTCCCAGTTAGCGCGGACTCCTATTCATATTCATGGAGGACACCTCTGCTGCGAACCGCTAGGAGCCCCCGGGCACAAAACCCTCTGATTGACACCGCACCGCTCCGACTCACGCCTTCCGAATTTTTTTTTTAAACTTTCTTCCACCCCACCCCCTTCCCAATTTCCCTAACCAAATCTTAAACAGGAGGAACCAAAATGAGGGGAGAAAGCGGGCCAGAGGGTTAGTGCGGGTTCCTGTGGGTCTGGAGAGAGGAAAGGAAACATCCCATCCATCCTTTCAGAGCTGCCCTACAAGTTTAGGGAAATGTGGGCGAAAAAGACCGGTCTGAAGGAGAAGTGGGGGTGGAAGGCAGGGTGTAATCAGCGAGCCTGGGGGAGGAGGAGGACTGGTACCCCAGGTTGGCCCTCTGAAGTTTTTCTTCATTAGTTCTCCTTTCCTAAACAAGGACATTGTTCATTTTGTTTATGGGGCCCTTCTGCTGCTGTTGCAAAGGGATGTCTGTATTTGGTGGTGGGTTTTCCCCAGTCACGATTGCAGGGAAGGGTCTCTCATTTTATCTTCTAGTTCGTTTAAAAGAAATAGATTGTTGAAAAACTTCAGTTTTGTACAATTCTAACTTCTGAGGTCTGGAACGGAGGGGAAACGCCTGTGTTCCAAGAAGATCGACTTGGGAAGGGAAAGCGGGGAAGGAGTGGGGAGAGCAGGAAGGCAGTTAGGGGCTGGGAAGGTCTCCCAGAGCCTGAGAGTTTTGTTTCGGCTTAGGCTGCCCGGCCCTCGGCGCTCCAGAAGGATGCTGGGCGGCCCCGCGGAAGCTCGGCAGGGAGCACACCTCTGGTCGCGTTAGAGAGCCTCGGTGCCGGAGCTCCGGTCCACCGCGCGGGAGGTCCACCGGCCTCCGGACCGAAGGCCGAGCTACCTTGATTTGTGAGCGTGTGGGCCCTGGTGGACAACGGAAGGACCCGGAGCATCCCTCGAGCGTGCGTGCATAGGCACGGCAGCCCGGAGCAGAGTGATTTCTGAAAGAGGCGGCCTGGCGTTTGGAGAGTTCACTGCAAGCGCGGAGGTGGGCGCAGATTTTCCTTTCCCCTTGCTGTGTTTTTGTCCATCGAGACGTTAGCCCTGCCACCCGAAGGGCGGGAAGGCAGAAATCCCTTGAAGAAAGGCAGCATCGGCGGTGGCCTCTAGAAGGATCCATGCGCTGACAAACTCCTGGCTAGGAGGAACCAGGGACGAGCGCTGCGTTAAGGCGCGGGGTCCCCAAGAAAAGCGCAAGACTGAACCAGTCCCGGAACCTCGGGCTGTTCGGACCTCTGCGCCCCAGCGTCCCGCGGGGCGAGGGAGAGGAGGCCTGTTTCCATGGACGCACAAGGAGCATCCGCACCAGGAGGACCTGTGCCCAGTCCGAGTTCGCCCCTTCCGAAGCCCTGCACACTGACCCACAGTCTCGCCTTGAAAGTAGCCCTGGCGCTGCCAGCAGCCGGGAAGACGCGACAACGGAATGGTTGCTTCTTCTCTGAACTTAGCTTCTGTGTAAAAGAAAATGCCCCACCGCCCGTCTTCAGGATCAGGACATTAGTGCCCTTGAAGACTGGACGCAAGCCTCTGACCGCATCCACCCGGTGGGAAGGAAATTTATTCAAATGAAGAATCCAAGAGATTTGATTGGGTGTGGAAAGATGATAAAATGCACATCAAATTTCTAAAAGGATTTTTTTAAAAAAAAAATCAGCAGACTCGTCCATTTTAGCTAAGATAGTGACATCTCGCGCGGAGTTTGTGAGAAAAACAAACAAAAAAAACGTTCCAGAACTTCTACATTCCAGGTGACTGGCCGGATATGGGGAGGCAGGTGGGCCGGAGCACAGCCCTTCTCCACTCCCAGACAGTCCAGTGTCGGTGTTGGTGGGGGTGCGAGGATCTCTCCGCTGGAAAAGGGGGCCCGTAGAAAGGGGGGGCTCCCTGCACTGGGTGGGCCCCCGCAGTCCTCCTGGGCCACTTTCATAACCCTGGGGTCTTTTTCCTGCCCAAGCAGAAAATACTGAACCTGAATTTTGATTTGGAAATAGCAAACTCGAATTAGAATAAACGGGCTTCAAAAGAAAGGGGTAGAAAGCTTATGTCACTGCAAGAAAAGTTCCACTTAGCTGGACAGTGTACAAAGAAGTTCAAAGTGTCTTCAAGGTAGTCAAAAAAAGGGAGAAGGGTGGAATAGACCTGGAAACAAAAACGGAACCACTCACTGGGGGGCAGGACAGACAGGGGCCAGGTTCTTAGAGTCCTAGCCAGGGGTCACCTGACTTTTCTGCCCTAGAGGAGCAGCTTGATCAACAGCTCAGACTGTGCTAGGCCTGGAAGTGGCACCACGGAGGATTTCCCTGAAAGGACACACACGCACACACACACACACAGACACACACAGACACACACACACACACACACACGCACGCTCCCTGAAGTGGGAGATACACAGTGTCCAGCGTGGAACCTCCTGAGCCCCACACTCAATAGATGCCACGCGCCCTCTGCTCCTGGAACCTCTGCTTTCCCCAAGGCCGAAAGGGGTGAGCAGGGGACGGAGGAGGCCCAAGGCCCAGCGCCCTCCAGGTGAACACTTCTGGTGAGGACTTTTAGGAGTTCCCCAGTCTAACACCTAGAAGGGATCAGTAGCGAAGGAGCCATAACTTTGCTTTCTGCAGAACGGGTGGATCCTCTCCAGGCCCAAAGGGCGGCACCACAGGAACCCTGCCTTTTCTGGGGCTTTCCTCTCTCAGGGTTCACTGGCAATCCCAGTTTAGATCCTTCCATAAACCACAAACAGGAGAAGCAGAAAGCCGGAAGTTCCAGGCCCTGGGATTTCTTCCTGAGGTCTCTGTTTTCCCTGGGGTTGGGGGTGGGGGCGAATAGGAAAGGGGAGATTAAAGGAGCCACTTTTGGGCCGTGGCTGCACGCAGCAGTCCCACGAAACTGCCTTGACCTTGGCCCAGGCCAGTGGCCCCTCCAGAGGGCTCAGAGAGCCAGGAGCTCAGCCGGCGGCTGGAGCTGTTGTGCCCACCAGGGCTCAGGGTCGTTCTCCTGCAACAGGTTCAACCCAAGGCCAGCTTTCCCGCCTAGCCCGTACTGGCATTGGGCAGAGCCTGGGAGTTTCCCAACCTTCATACCACACGTGAAAGCGGCGGATCCGCTCGGGGGCCGGGTTGGGGAGTTGCCCAGAGATCCTGGGCCTCAGCTCTCAGGATCAAGAGCTCCAGAGGCTGTTGGGCTCTTCCCAACACCTCCCTCTGCCCCCCCATCACCAGAAATGTCCCTTACCCAATGCCCAGTGCCCAGGGAGGCCGCTCGGTGCCCGACGCCCACGGCTCTGCGGCTCCAGCAATGGAGTTCCTCTCCAGCATCTGTCGGCTCTGCCAGAGGCTGCGGTGATTTGGGCTCTGGAGCGAACCCCCACCCCGCCCCCACGCCTTGCCAGAGTCCAGCAGCAAATGTCACCAGGGCTGACCTTCGAGGAGGCTACTTTGAGGAGCAGGTCACTCAGCAATGTCCAGGGTTCCCTTCATCCCTCGAGACTCAAACTTGACCCAGAAACTTTTCGCCAAAACGGAAAAGCAGGATACTGTTGAAAGGAGCTCATATTTCAATCTAATCCTTTTCCAAAGAAACAAAAATAATCAAACAAGAGGACAGACGGCAAATCCAAGCATTTCATGTCCATTCGTGTGCAACTAAGGAGTAACCTCAAAGTAGTTTTAGTTGACCAGAAGTAGGAGCTTCACATAGAGAGCTTTTCTTTTCTTTTTTATAGGAGTGAAATAGTAACTCACAAGGAAAGAGGGCCTGAGGCAGGAGGGTGGGGGACACAACATTTAAAACACCTAAAATCAACAGCCTTAGCTGGAATTATCCCTTATTACACCCCCGCAGCACCTCTAAGTCCCTGCATTTGGGTGCCCAGATCAAAATTTCAGCAATTAGACAGGTGCTACAAGGGTTTAAGAAGGTGAATCTGGACAGACTGACTAGAGCCTGTTTGTTTTCAGGTATTTTAAATAGCATCTTGGAAACTTACTGATCTCCCCAGTCTTTCCCCCTCACCCTGATTAAAATAGGACTCTCAGAGAGAGAAACAGCAAAGGTGGAAGGACAGCAAAATTTTATGAAACAGTAATAACTGCTCTTCGCAATGTTGGATGTGAAGCCAGAGGGTGGCAGGAAGCCCCAGAATAACATAAAATGATGAGATGCTAATTATGTGAATATATAGACAAGTTAATACACTGGCAGAACTAGAACTTTGATTTTAATGATGCATGAGCAGCAAGGCTGGCTAGAATTTACAGATTCATTATAGTCATTTAAAGATTCCCTGAAGTTAAAGGCGATAAGAAGATCCGGGCTTCATTTATAGGATTTTGCTCAATAGCAAACATGTTTCAGTATTCTTTTCTTTCTTTTCTTCCTAGGAACATCTGCTCATCTGCCAAAACCTTGACTGAGTTTTCATTCTGTAGAAAGCATATAAGTGTACCAAGCAGAGAAACAGTTTCCCTCAAGATTGGAAAGTTTAGGTTGATTTAAATATCACTGGTGATTAATCACATAAATGAATGAGTAATGTTAAAATTTGCATGCTTACATTTTTGGCATGTGTC